ACTTTATACTATTAGGATTGTGTATCTACCAACGTATGTTTACAACACACAGTAACAATACACAAAACAATGTTATATTAACATATTGTTGCCCATAATCTTATCATACATATTAACCACCACTAAACACGTTATCCCTAGAACTTATCTGCAGTCTTGTGGAACTCCTATTGAAACCAATCCCATGGGAAAATGCAGAGGGGCAACTTGAGACACTTCCCGATCACACATAACAACGGTGTCTCCTTCCCTCCCATGCGTGTTGTCGGGACGTTTGTAGCTGTAATGCACAACACATTACATAGACCCTCCTTCTGAGCATTTTTATCTTGGTCATGCAGCCTAAGGAAGCAAGCTTGCATGGCCGGTAGGTGATGATCGCAAAACCACTGGGGGGCCTAAACACGAGATGACGCGTGATTGTTCTGTTAAAATTCGTGGGGTCCGTAAATGGACCTAGTCTGCAGGTGTTTGCTCCCTTGGTTACTTATTGCAATTATTGAGCACTCTGATTACACTCACAAACACGTGCCAAAAATGTCACCAAGATTTGGTGTTTTGGTTCTCGCTCTTCAACTTGTATATGCTAAATCCCACTGAGCATTGACAGCATAGAGTGTAAATTCAACAAAGTCCAGGAATAACAAATGTTTTATAGCTATAAAAACTCTAACTTGCAGCTTTATTAACTCCTTTGCGTACAAAACTAGTCCAGACAAACAGCCAATCTTCTGTCATGTCAGCATTTGTCACGTAAAGCGCCTAGTTTTACCCGTTGTAACTCCATGACACTTGTCGAGGCTTTAGAATGGGTTCAGCATTGGTCTCTCCTTTTGTGCCTTGCCACTGATGTACCATTTGTCGTTTCAGGGTGAACTGGAATGTCAGTAATTTGTGACAACGAAAACGTATTTTTTCATGCCACCGAAAATGGCCATGAGTGTAGTCATTGGATAGCAAAGGCGTGCTTGCCCCCCACCGTCACACTTCGACATGTCGAGTGCCAGCAACCCCAGCGTCGAACCTTGGCCATGAAGATGTACGATTACCGGACGCACTGTGGCCACAAACACAACGTCTCTGGTCAAAGCCTATATCACTCCGCAAGAAATACACCACTATAGTAACGGGGCTTGTGTACCCAATCTAGCCATGTCAAAAACACTATGCCCCCCTTCAAACCGAGATGATGGTCTTCCATCCGAAGTCCTTTCGTAAGAGACCACACTCCACCAGAGATACCCCCAATCAACTTTCATGGTATCTACATTCACAAAGTTGGAGTTAAACACCTGCGCATACAGGTGTACACAACAATTGTATAGTCCATCCAAACAACAAGACCTAACTTCTATGCATTGAGCTTAGAATGAGAGATACTTAGACCACCATATGAATAAAATCAAGGAGCTCACATCAATGACAAGAGGGCTTATCCCTGAAAAGGTTATAAAAATACATGCAGAGCAGTCAGACCAACTGCTTGTTTCATCTAGCAGGTACATTAAACCAAACATGTTCGAACAATCCTTGTAATAAAACCTTGACGCTTCTGTCAGGCCCGTGCATTCTGTTCTGAAAAGTGTTAACATACAAAACAGTATCAAGAAACTATTAACAACCCTATACACGTAGTTCACACTAACAAACCCGAGGAGTTGAAAATCATGCGTTAACTGTTGCCCATTATGTGTTACAGGTGTGTTTAATACACATGTGGCAAAGCATTATTGTGGCAAAAAACAGTCACATCTCTGCCACAGTGTAGTCCTTCCCTTTCCAACTATGTGTTGACCCCCTCCGGCCGTGTGATTTTTTGCCGATGCGAGAGCAAGAAAAACTCTTATAAAACTGTGGTTATGCATAAATCTGTGCGTGGGATGTAGTGCGGGATTACAAGAAAACAGATGATTGCTGATGTTATGAATGAAAATAGAATTGGATTGGATCCTGGCCCAACAGGCGAAACAAAAGCTGAAGGGGGTAGTGAGAGTTCATGGGGGGAAATAAATGTGTATTAAGATCTGGGGATGTATCGTTGAGAGAATTAATAGTCAAAGAAGGGGTAAGCAGTAATGTTAAAATGATCAGATATTGGAAGGATAAAAGAGATATGAATTGTGTAAATTCAAGAATGAAGTTGATTACAGTAAAGGTTGGATGCGAGAATTGGGATCCATAATAAGGCTGTGTATGCACCTGGAGAAGAGAGGAATGCAGAGGAAGTGAGATGATCTTATCTGGGAGATGTAAAATTTGAATGTATAGGAGCCTTTGAACCAAGTGAGAGAGTCATGTAGTGGTAGGGGACCTTGAATGCTAAGTAGGAGAAAACATTTAAAGAGGGTGGAGGTAGTAAGTTTGGGTGCCAATGGAAAAATGAATAATGTGGAGAAGCCCTTTTTGATTGAACTTTGTATAGAAATGGGTTTTTAGTAATCGGAATACATTTTTTTAAAAAACTCTTATAAATAAGTATACACGATATGATGACGGGCTCCCTTCCCTACTACATAATTCCAATCATTAACAACTTATCTCACCACTCCCATATGCGTAAAGACTCACGATTCTACCATGTTTTCATAGAGGAGCCACAGATCATACTTTCAGATCACATACCTAGTATAGATAGTTCTAGACACTTGAGAGTAAAAGGTAGATGGATGTACAAGGCGACAGAACTAGAACGCCATCAGGACACGAGCAGAAGAGTGAAGTTATAAACTAAAAGAGGGAGAGGCAGTTACGTGTAACAGTCACATCTATACGCGCATAACTGGAGTGAAAGAAGGTCTAATGATAGCATCGGCATGTGGACGAAGAGGAAGGGTTATAGGGTATAATGAATGTGTGTTAGCGTGTAGTTCAGCAAAATATGGTGTGTGTGTGTTACAGGGAAATGGTGCAATAGGTAAGAGGAGCGAAGTAGGAAAGATGAAGGTATAACGTGGCGACTTATACTAACCTCGAGTCCTCCACCTAACCGCCAAAGCCCTAATAACCCACCCTACCCCTGACACTCAACTGCCCCGTCGATGAGCCGTACAGACACACAGGCTACACCCCGCGTCTCTTTACCTCGCGAGGATTACTCCGCATACACCCTCGTCTATCCCCGCCGCATCTCTCTATTTATCTCTAACAACCCCCCCAAGAAATAATCCCTCCACCCTCCCTCCTATAGTAACAAAAAGTTCTATCTCAACCCACCACGAACCCCGCGCCGACTCTCCCCCCTATTCAAAATACATAACCGCCGCCTCGTCGACTGACTCCTTCATCCTAACAGACCTCCTCCTCACTTTCTCCTACACTTCTTGTACCTACGTGTTTCCCTCCATGCCTGTACACACAAATCCTTCACAAGTAAGCCCATATTCATCCTCAACTTTGACCTCGATAGTCCATCCTGATACCAGCTGTCCCTTCTTCCACCCAACAAGGACTGCCTCATCTTCCTCTCCCGATATCGATATTTTGCATTAACTATCTTCCGAGCTTACCCCCGATCCCCTTTATACCTTCTCAGAACAGTCCGTTTCAAGTCCATGTGCACCCTCACGCCCAGGACAACATACAGCTACTGATTGCACTATCGAAAATTCTTACATTTACATAGATCGCCACAAATCGAATAACAACTCCCAGACATTCCGCTCTTTCACCTTAACCCCCACTTTCCAAATTTTTCCTCTCGTCCCATCCCACTAACCAATGATCACTTCCTTCACCCATTGGCACCCCCGCTCTCTATCCAACACCCAAACAAGGCGGTGAACCCGACAGAAAACAGAGTTACCCATGACCCTATACATGTGACTCTGAACAAAATGCCCTCTCCACCGCTCACCCTCTCTTCTCCACTTCCACGCCTCATCCCCCGTCTTCAAGAATTACCTTAATTTTGCTAAATTCCCCTTAATAAAACCCCACCACTATCCAGCCCACCACCTATCCCCGTCATAAAGGAGCATGAGGCTAAAAGATGTACTTTAGTGGCAAAACAGGGCTTGGAAAGGCGTAATGAGCCGTTGAGGCATGGGGGCAATGTGGTCGTATTTTTTGCAAGTGTATGGTTTAGGAGGTAGGTTACTAAAAGCATGGTAAGAGAGTTCTGAAACTAGGATAGTGGGAGTGCTCGTCAAGGACATTATGAGTATATCGGAAAATAAGGCGTAAACAAATGTTCTCCTTTCATTCCCAAGTACAAGTAGGCCTTAAGACAATGATGATGTTGATGTTCACCCCGATTCACGTAGAAGTACTACTAAATATATTATCAATGTATCGGGTGGAGGACTGTGGGGTTACAGAGCGGAAGGTAGAAATGTCCGATGGATCATGGCAGAAGAGGACGTAGAGTTAAAAAGATAAAGCAGAATCACACAACAAAGTGGGTAGTTGTCACTAGAGGCTGGCTCTTTTGCTGAGAACGTAAGCTAGTGGCTCTTGGAGAAGTTCTCTGAAGAGAACAGATTGCAGACTATTGGTGGGAGTTGACTTTTGTGGCGTGGCTGTGTACTTGTGGGAGTGGTGTATACTTGTGAGGCAGTGATGTCATGTGAGGCGTGGTGTGTACTTGTGAGGCAGTGGCTGTGTACTTTTGAGCAGTGGTTTGTATACTTGTGAGGCAGTGACTGTACATGTGAGGCAGTGGTGTGTACTTGTGAGGCAGTGATGTACATGTGAGGCAGTGGCTGTTTACTTGTGAGGCAGTGATGTACTTGTGAGGTAGTGGCTGTGTACTTGTGAGGCAGTGACTGTACTTTGTGAGGCAGTGACTGTATACTTGTGAGGCAGTGACTGGTGAAACATGCAGTGTACAGATCACTGCCAGTGTGAAGTTCATCACTAGCAACCTGAGAGTGAAAGGTGACACTGGCTAGTTTCCTCTTAAAGCAACAAATATATTGACTCTCTTATTGTTGTCAGAGGCTGAGATTGTATCTGCTGCTGCCTCAATAAATGGTATTCATTTCAGCATCATTGTTTGTCGTACTAATTTTAGCTTATTCTCAGAAACAAATCGTGAGTGAGCAGAAGAAGATGGAGAGAGAGCCTAAGCCAGAGAAAGAGCCAGACCCTCCGCTGGATGAAATATTCTCTGAGCTAGGTACAGTATTATCCCCTTCTCAACTTTGTTGTAATATTGTTTACCTTATTAAGTCCATTTATTATTAAAATGGGATATCTTGCTACTCCTACTTACAGTTTGGTCACACTTCACAGACACGCACATGCATATATATATACATACTACTGAAAGCAGTGAAGGAGTTTTTACGAGGATAGTGAGGCTCAAGTTAGAGTATGTAGGAAAGAGGGAAATTTTTTCCAGTAAAAGTAGGCCTTAGACAAGGATGTGTGATGTCACCGTGGTTGTTTAAATATATTTATAGATGGGGTTGTAAGAGAAGTAAATGCGAGGGTCTTGGCAAGAGGCGTGGAGTTAAAAGATAAAGAATCACACACAAAGTGGGAGTTGTCACAGCTGCTCTTTGCTGATGACACTGTGCTCTTGGGAGATTCTGAAGAGAAGTTGCAGAGATTGGTGGATGAATTTGGTAGGGTGTGCAAAAGAAGAAAATTAAAGGTGAATACAGGAAAGAGTAAGGTTATGAGGATAACAAAAAGATTAGGTGATGAAAGATTGAATATCAGATTGGAGGGAGAGAGTATGGAGGAGGTGAACGTATTCAGATATTTGGGAGTGGACGTGTCAGCAGATGGGTCTATGAAAGATGAGGTGAATCATAGGAAATTGATGAGGGAAAAAGAGTGAGTGGTGCACTTAGGAGTCTGTGGAGACAAAGAACTTTGTCCTTGGAGGCAAAGAGGGGAATGTATGAGAGTATAGTTTTACCAACGCTCTTATATGGGTGTGAAGCGTGGGTGATGAATGTTGCAGCGAGGAGAAGGCTGGAGGCAGTGGAGATGTCATGTCTGAGGGCAATGTGTGGTGTGAATATAATGCAGAGAATTCGTAGTTTGGAAGTTAGGAGGAGGTGCGGGATTACCAAAACTGTTGTCCAGAGGGCTGAGGAAGGGTTGTTGAGGTGGTTCGGACATGTAGAGAGAATGGAGCGAAACAGAATGACTTCAAGAGTGTATCAGTCTGTAGTGGAAGGAAGGCGGGGTAGGGGTCGGCCTAGGAAGGGTTGGAGGGAGGGGGTAAAGGAGGTTTTGTGTGCGAGGGGCTTGGACTTCCAGCAGGCATGCGTGAGCGTGTTTGATAGGAGTGAATGGAGACAAATGGTTTTTAATACTTGACGTGCTGTTGGAGTGTGAGCAAAGTAACATTTATGAAGGGATTCAGGGAAACCGGCAGGCCGGACTTGAGTCCTGGAGATGGGAAGTACAGTGCCTGCACTCTGAAGGAGGGGTGTTAATGTTGCAGTTTAAAAACTGTAGTGTAAAGCACCCTTCTGGCAAGACAGTGATGGAGTGAATGATGGTGAAAGTTTTTCTTTTTCGGGCCACCCTGCCTTGGTGGGAATCGGCCGGTGTGATAATAAAAAATAAAATAAACATACATCTAGGTTTTTTCTCCTTTTTCTAAATAGCTCTTGTTCTTCTTTATTTCTTATATTGTCCATGGGGAAGTGGAAAAGAATCTTTCCTCCGTAAGCCATGCGTGTCGTATGAGGTGGCTAAAATGCCGGGAGCAATGGGCTAGTAACCCCTTTTCCTGTAAACATTTACTAAAAAAGAGAAGAAGAAAAACTTTATAAAACTGGGATGCTTGAATGTGCGTGGATGTAGTGCGGATGACAAGAAACAGATGATTGCTGATGTTATGAATGTAAAGAAGTTGGATGTCCTGGGCCTAAGCGAAACAAAGCTGAAGGAGGTAGGGGAGTTTCGGTGGGGAGAAATAAATGGGATTAACTCTGGAATATCTGAGAGAGTTAGAGCTAAGGAAGGGGTAGCAATAATGTTGAAGGATCAGTTATGGAAGGAGAAAAGAGAATATGAATGTGTAAATTCAAGGATTATGTGGATTAAAGTAAAGGTTGGATGCAAAAAGTGGGTCATAATACGCGTGTATGCACCTGGAGAAGAGAGGAATGTAGAGGAGAGAGAGAGATTTTGGGAAACGTTAAGTGAATGTATAGGAACCTTTGAACCAAGTGAGAGAGTAATTGTGGTAGGAGACCTGAATGCTAAAGTAGGAGAAACTTTTAGAGAGGGTGTGGTAGGTAAGTTTGGGGTGCCAGGTGTAAATGATAATGGGAGCCCTTTGATTGAACTTTGTATAGAAAGGGGTTTAGTTATAGGTAATACATATTTTAAGAAAAGAGGATAAATAAGTATACAAGATATGATTGGGGGCGAAAGGGGACAGTAGTTTTTTTGGATTATGTTTTGGGAAAAAAATAAAAGACGTTGAGTAGCCCTTTCAGGATGTACTTTGTTTTATAGGGGGGCCCAAAGATATTTAAATTTTAAATTTTTTTAGTTGTGCAAACACTGAGGAAAAAAAGTGATGGGTAACAAGGAGAATAGAACCCATAAGGTAAGAGAGAGGGGGAAGGTTTATAAACCTAAAAAGGGGGGCAGTTTAGGGAAAGACTAAAAAAAAATTGGAGGATAAAAGGGCTAATGAGAGATAGGCAATGGATTTCGAAGAGGAAAGGGGGTTTTAAGTTTAAAAATGTAGGGTTGGTGTTCAGCGGGAATTTTTGGGGGTTACGGAAAGTGGGTGCGGGAGGGAAGGGACGATTTGGTGGAATGATGAAGTAAAAAGGGGTGTAAGGGAGAAAAATTTTTGCATATGAGAAGTTTTTTTAAAAAAATTTGAAGTGATGCAAGGAGAGAAGAGTATTTGGAGAAAAAGAAGGGTTGAAGCAATGTTAAAAAAAAGGCAAATGAGAGGTTTTTTGAGTTTTTTATCAACAATTTTGTTTTAAAATAAGAAAAGGTTTTTTGGGGTTAGATAACAAAATTTAAAGGGAAACCTAAAAGAAAAAAATGGAATTTTTCAGTTTTAAAAATGGAAAGGAGAGTTTTTTAAAAAAGGGGAGTTGAAATATTGGGAAGATGGAAAGGGGAAATTTTTAGGGGGAAATTTTTAAAAGTTGGGTGAAGATTGGAAGCCCCTTTAATTTTTGTGTATAGGGCAAGGAGAAATAACAAAAATTTTAAAGGGGTGAGGAAAAAGCCCCGTTGTAGTGTTGGGGGGAATTCCCTGGGGGCAGTAAAGGGAAAAAGAAAGGGGGGAAGGCAGCCGGGATTGATGAGATAAAGTTTAAAAAAATTTAAAAAAAAGGGGGGGATATTGTTTTGGAGTGGTTTTGGGGTTATTTTTAATAAATGTTTTGGAAGAGGGTAAGGTACCCAGGGTTGGCCAGAGGCATGCATAGTTCCTTTGTATAAAAAGGGAAAAAGGGGCAAAAGGGGTGCAAAAAAATTTTAGGGGGATAAATCTTGCGGTATCACCCGGGAATGTAGGGGTTTGAGTTATTATTGAAAGAAAATTAAAACCGGGTTTGAGGTGTATTTTCGTATAGCAATTTAAAAGGTTGTTAAAAGCTCGTTTTCTTTGGCTCATTTGATAGAATGGAAAAAATTATAGGGAAAAAGAAAATGATTTTTATTGGTTTTTAACCCGTGAAAGGGGGCTTGAAAAAGGAAATCAAAATTTCAGAAATGTTTGGTTTTTTTCCCTATGGTTCGATGTAAACCCCCTGACGTCATTGTCCAGTTTAAAAATCCAACTAAACCATTTTTAAATTGGGTCATGAATGGGTTTTAACCCTTATTTATTCAATTATTTGCCAATATTTTCCAGGGAGTTTTAAAATAACAGAAAAAATTCTATTTTTTTTGTGAAAAAAAATTCAAAATAGAAAGCAAGAGTTTTAAAAAAAGGGGCCCCGGGACAAGACTGATGAACAGAGAAAATGTTATTTTAGAGGGCCCGGAATGTCTTCATTGTTCATTCTGGACCCTATTTTTTAAAATTTTTAAATTTTTTAATTTGCATGAAATTGGCCAAAAAAGCCCAAATTTTTGACTTTTTAAATTGGGGAGGTTTAAATCGGTAAAAAGGGGGTTTTTTTGTACTCATCGAAAAGAAACCAAAAGGAGTTTTTAAAGAAGTAGTTTTTAGTTTTTTCTGGAAATGGGAAAAAATGGGGAAATTTGGGAAAAAAAGGGGGTCAGATTGGGGGAAAAAACCCCCCGATATGTAAAAAACACCGGGGGACGCCCAAAATTTAAAGGGAAAATGTTTAAAATTCCCCTTAAAAAAAAATTTTTCCCTCCCCAAATTTCGAACCTTTTTGGTTTTCCCTTATCATTGGGGGAAAAAAATTTTCTATCATTTTTTAAGTATTTTTTTTTATTTTTTATTTATTTTTTTTTTTTAAAATATTTTGCAAAACAACCCGGAGACACTTAAGGGTTGGGGGGTTGCACCCGTAAAGGGTTAATGACTAGCTTAGGCCCCACAAAAAGACTTTTGGACCCCCGGGGGTTATAGTGGTGGGGTAACAATAAAAACAACAACAACCCCGAGTAGGGACCCCGGTGGTGATAGTAAATGATGTACAAAAAACCGGAAAAGCAAAAAGGGCTATAACTGGGGACCCAGGTGGGTTTTGGTGGGTTACCCAACCCCTGAACAACAACGACCCAAATGTTTGGGGCCCCGATTTGGGGAAAAGTGGGGGATATACAGCACTTAAAAAAAACAGACTATAACTGGGGGACCCAGGGGGTGAAAAGGGTGGTTAAAAACACTGAACAAAACAACCCCAATGTAGGGACCCCGATGGTGATAGTGGTGATATACAGCACTAAACAACAACAGACTATAACTGGGGACCCAGGTGGTGATAGTGGTGGTGTACAACACTGAACAACAACAGACCAAAACTGGGGATCCAGGTGGTGTGCAACACTAAACAACCAACAGACTGTAACTGGGGACCCAGGTGGTGATAGTGGTAGTGTACAATACTGAACAACAACAGACTATAACTGAGGACCAGGTGGTGATAGTGGTAGTGTACAATACTGAACAACAACAGACTATAACTGAGGACCCAGTGGTGATAGTAGTAGTTGTACAATACTGAACAACAACAGACTATAACTGAGGACCCAGGT